TTGTGATAATTTTTCCTAAAGTTATGGGGGTTTAAAGATTGCCATTTTGGCCAATTTGGGACAATTAACGCGCGATATATTTCGCGCGATATATTTCGCACTATTAGCGAGTAAGCGGAGAGTTAATCCGTCTTAGAAATCGTTCCAAATTGGTTGAAAGAGGCTTATTTGCCATAAATGATTTGTTACAAGGAGCGAAATCTATATTTTTGTACTTTATATGGCGTGTGGGGGGATGATTTTCATAAAAAATTTCGAATTTTAGAAAAAAAAATGTTTTCATTTTGTTTTAATACATTTATTTTTTTGATGTTATTACTGTTCCATAAACCTTTAAAGGCAGTCGAACTTGATACGCCCTGATACTTCGCCCTAATACATGCTTCGCCCTGATGCGAGCAGTCTTGTTTGTTTTGTATTTTATTCAAGTGCTTAGAAACTCCGTCCAGTACATGGGATCGTTCAAAGCTAAAACAAGGCCCTGGATTTCTAGATACTCCGACTACCTTTTTTTTCTCCCATTGGTATACAAAACGTTGATAAAATCAAAGTTTTGGATTGTCAATGTCAATAAAACCTTGAGGGATGAAATTTCAGTAAATAAAATGACCTCTTGATTTCAATTTGAAACGAATTTGCGTTGGCGTTAGTGAATCGTGTGCTGCTTTCATCATCATAGATAAAAAATTGCATATGCCCACGGTACTTATAAGATATTACGTAACAATCGCTAGGAAATATGTAGATTGCTGGCTTCATACCCTTTCTACAATTTTTGATCCCAAAGTGGTCTGAATACAAACCCTGGGCGTCTACATTCGTTAGTTTCCAAAAAATCGAACAATAAAATCATCTGTTAATTTTTTATGACCAGAATTAGTTTTTTGTAAGAACGAATATGCAAATTTTTGTATAATTGTTTGATGCTACATATTTACAAAACGGTTTGAACGAAAAGTTATATGCTAAGTCTTGTTTTTATGTTTACAGGAGTTTTTTCGCTCTAAGTTTTTCTTCCAGTAAAGGATAACTAAGGGCAAACTGGGCATCAGTTGAGAGATCAAAGCGGTATTTGTCACCAATGCACATGAGAAGAACTTTCTCTGGTGTGAATCTGGCCTCAGCTATCACCGGAATAATTGTCTTCTTCTGGGTTCTGGCATATCTGATTTCGCACATGCAGTTTTCGCTCAAGTAGTAATCTTGCGATAGCAAACATATAATAACTGATGCGTTATCAATTGCGTCGACTATTTCGTCCAGAATTCCGGGACCTTTGTGCATGTTCTCGGAATCAATCCAGAGGTTCTGGAATTCACTTCCTCGAAGCCGGCGAACTATTTTATGAGCTAGATCTTTTTGTTTGTGACAGTAGCTGATCATTATATGCTCCTTAGAATGTTGGCCAGTTGTTGCATAGGACGTTTCTCCAAGTTTCAACGTCAATTCTTTTCTTTGTTTGATGTCGGTGCTAACTCTTTTAGCATCTTCAATATTGATGCCTTTATCTGCAGTAACTATTTTGCAGCTACTGTCTTCAGGGTTTTTGTCATCTTCTCTGAAGTCAATTGGTCCCACATCAGATTTCGTAATATCACTTTCGATTGAACTATGCAACAAGTTTTCGTATATCGTCTGAAAGTCATGATCGACTGAAACAAAGTTCCGAGTGAAATTCTGTAAAAGACATAGAGCGGACAATAGTTATATTTTAAACCACACATTAGAGGAAAAATGCTGATCGATTTTTTTCATTCAATTAATATTTAAATAAAAAGATTTTACGATCCCCAGTGAGGGGCTCAATAAGCAAAAAAAATGCATGTAGTTCTTAAACAGGGGCAAACAGCGGCTCACCGTGATGAGCTGTACAGATCTTGTAATGGTAATTCCCCCCGTGGATAAATGGTCTTAATCTAATATCTAATTATGACAAAAAGCGACAGCAAGAACTAAAATGAGCAATCAGTTTTTTGTAAGAAAAAAGAAAAGACAAGTAGCACGAGACTCGGCGGTCAAAGAATAAATAAAAGAAGCTTGAGAGTCATTTTTGATTACTGGAAAAAAACTGGTACCGTGAATTTCGAAACTTGTCACAAGTCTTTGAAGCGCTTCCAAAAATAATAGACGTTTTTACCAGTTTTAACAGTTACATCACACGAAGTTTCAGTCTAAGTAAGAAATATTTATTCAGTTTGGTGAAATGTATAAATGTTAAAACTATTGATAAAAAAGATTGTGTGAGTGGGTGAGATGATGTAGGTTTTTTGAAGCGTCCTTTAAACTTCTCAAAGGTATAATACTCTTTTGTTCAAGAGGGATGGTTTTTGTTCTGCTATTATTTCAACAAAAATTGAAAACAAGAAGTAAGCTTTAACCTTTCTCAGTTAATTCTGCCAAGGATTCATCCATTTGTCCAGGCGTCTTAGGACAGCTGCCACTGCTTCTAGGGCTTTTCTCGAGTTTCTCTGATTCTTCGGAAAGTGAATGTTTATAATGCAGAAAAGTTGGATTTTCGAATTCAAATAGGAAACTTGTCATTGGAATCAAACTTATCTGATTGAGAATGCTTTTTGCCAAACTTGCCGTGCGTTGAGGTCTGCTAAAATTAGTGATTGATTCGCTCAAGAGAAAACCTAACTTATCAAGATAAGTTTCACAGATCGAAATGATGCCCTGCTTGATCAATTCTGTAGCAGTGTGGGTATTTAATGAAAAAATTGAAAGGGACTCCATAATTTCGTGGGCTTGAAAGTTTTCATAAGATAAGTGATCAGGTGTTTGAAGAATATTGGGTAAAACTTGTTGAAATAGATAGTCTAACTGATTTTTTTGCAATGTTAACAGTGGCAAATCATCATCAGCTTCAAAATCAACCACGTACGACAAACATAAAAGGGCCCATGTTTTAATCTCTTCATCTTCAGAGTCGAGTAGCTCTCGTAAAGTGTATTTGAGATTCGATTTGCAAACAGTAAGACGGAGCTCTGGACATTTGCCGAAAATGTTTCGCAAAATCATGACAAGCTTTTTTACGCCATCGTGGATTTTTGGGCAATTTGACGATATCTTCTGGTCTTTCCAATTGAAAGCAACATTGTCTATGAGGCTTGAAACTAAGAATTCATGGAAATTGTTCTCGATTACATTTTTGCAAAAATCTCTGCTACTATTTGTGAAACATACTAAAAGATGTAAAGTAATCTGTTTGATTGCATCGGAATGGAAATCAGTTAAGAAAGCTTTTGAAATTTTGACAAAGTCCCAAGTAATGATATCCCGGAAGAAAATTTCAAATTCGGTTTTTTCTTCTTCAGATTTTAAAAGTGATTCAAATTTTTCTTCCACACACATCAAAATCGATATCGTTTTTAAATCGTTGTCATTGTGATCCTGACCAATGAGAGTGTCGCTTTTATTTAAAAGATAAGAATTAGAAGCTGCCATTCATCAAAAAGTACGCAATTGGAAAAACATTTAGTGATTATCGTAGACTGTTTAAATGCTAGTGAGTAAAGTTAGATTTGATAGTTTTTTTACAAATAAGAAACGAGAGCTCTTTAATGCTTTTTTGTTACAGTAAAGACAACATAACTGTTGTTTTTTTGTTCAAGAATAATAACTCGGCGTGCAAGCTAGCAATAATTTAAGAACAGTATTTTTTGACTACGCAAGTTGAATACGCAACTTTTTTTGACTATTTTTCTAAAAAAAACAGTTTAATCAGTGTGAGTTTATATTTACAAGAAGCATCAAAGCGTAAACACAAATGAATAGTTTTTATGCCAGATTCTATTCGAAGCTTCGGTAATTTGAAAAAATCACAACAGCATAAGTCTTGAACTCACTGAGCCCAAATGATTTGAACTCATGTTATGGCACAAGTCTTGAACTCATGTTTTATAAGAGCGTAAATGATTCATGAGAAGAAAACAATATACACTAAGCGACTAGATTCCTCTTGCAAAATCTTGGATTTATAATTGAAACTCTGACTCTAAAATGCAATTAACAATTGGTTTGATTGGTTTGGTTTCACAATTTTTTCATAGTCATGGATTCGACCAACCACCAATCGATTTGGGATAAACATATGGTGTCGTCTGGTTTTGCTAGTCAGCTTTGGTTTCCACAAAAAAAGCTCGTAGCTGGTCAACTGAGGCGTCAGATTCTTTTTTATTTGATCCCTTAAGGTTTGAAAAAATTTCAAAGCGTACATCAAAAATTGTTTTAATAGTTTGCAACGTTTCCGATTTGTTATCACTGAGGAATTAGAAAGAGGAAAATTTTCGAATCGAACTTTAGTTACTATTTTGAAAAAAGTTATCCTCTTAATAATGTTAGCTAAAACAATGTCTTCAAAAAGTTTGGCGCACCTTGTACAGAAACCCACTGATCCTGTTTGTAATTGCTTACATTTATTTTAAGTTGAAAGCTTAAAAAACTAGCTCCACCTACATTTTTAGCTCGGTTTTTGTGTCGGTTATTTGGTAGGTCAGCTTTTTCGGATTTTTTGAGCTGTAGTGAGTCCCTGAATGAACGAAACTTGGTTTGGTTATATATATATTTTTTTTTACTTCGGAAGCATTTTTTTGGAAAACGATGGCTGAAAAATTTCAGTCTTTTTTGCCGTTTTTAAATCAATAACATACAATATGTAAATTTAAATTAGTAATATGTATAAGGTGCATTTAAAAATCTATATGGTTGATCAGTCGAAAATTGCTGTCACTAAATTGCTACCCACCATTTTAGCTGAAAATTAGTACATTTGCATGCTTTTAAGATGGTTTGCTGTCGTACAATATTACTGATAAGGTCCACTGTCGAGAATATAAACTTTTTAAAACATATAATTACATTACTTTTATAAACATATACACATAATTTTTTGCTTTTTTGTTTATAAATTGTCTCTGATAATAATTTAAAAATTCTGATTTATGAACTATGATTTGTGTTTTCTAATTGTGATTTTTATTGATATTTTCTCTTTCCAGTACATGGCTGCGAGCAACAACACGGAGACCCTTCTGATGTGTAATTATGACACCGAATGGAGTTGTCCCGGGGTGAGTCAGTGCATCCCGAGGGAGTGGAGGTGCAACCGGGTGGAAGACTGCGTCAACGGGGCAGACGAACACAACTGTGTGGGTGAGTAGTGAGTCATCGTTACCCCCCCTTCCGAGTTTGTTGCAAATTTCCTCAATCCACCTTCCGATCATGTACGCAAAGTTTTAAAATAGATAAAACTTCTGCTATTTTTTGCATAACGCACATTCCGATCTTGCACACAAAAGGGTCAACAATTTTTTATAGAAAACTTAATAAATTTTTTTGCAAACATTCACTTATCCACCTTGTAAGCAAAATTGAAGCATTTATCAATTTATTGCAATTTTTCCATAGTTCACATTCCGATCATGTACACAAAAGTGCAAGCAATTAATTTGTAAAAATTATCAAATTAATGGGCCTCTATAATCCCTGTTGATTGAGTTTACCGTGACTTTTTTCATGTTTGTAGTTTGCCATTTGTTTTTTGCAGCTTGATTTTCACAGATATTGATAATGTAAATTGCAATATAAACTTCCGACGGTGTTGTTTATTGTTTGATTTTCTCCTAACTTTTTGTTCCTGAAGATGGTGGATTTTTGATGCGTCAGGCTTACCAAAGTTTAGCTTAATCAGCAATTTCAATATAAATATCTGAGCTTATGAAGGGGGTTATTTATTAAAAAATCACGAAATACAATCATAAAAACAAAGCCTTTGGTCAAATGTTCAGCTTTTACAACTTGTTGTGAATTGCCATATATATACTTTCGTAGTTATAAACATGGTTTAATTGCAGTCTTAAACCACAGAAAAACAATATACACGAGAAAGTTCGATTAAGAAGATTTAAATAAGAAAACAATAAAACAATAAAAAAAGCTGAGAGATTAATGTGAAAAAATGAAAGCGAGTTCAACTTCGATTTCAACATGTCTATAGCGAGAACATCTGATTTGTCATGTTGTTTCTGGCAACAAATGAAACAAAACTGCTCGTATCAGGGCCAAGCCCTGAATGTACCGAGTGCCTATTAAGGTCTACGGACTAGTAACAAAACTGCTCGAATCAGGGCGAAGCCCTGAATGTCCCGACTGCCTATTAAGGTCTACGAAATACTAATAAAACTGCTCGTATCAGGGCGAAGCCCTGAATCTCCCGACTGCTTATTAAGGTCTACGGAATAGTAACATGACTGCTCGAATCAGGGCGAAGCCCTGAATCTCCCGACTGCTTATTAAGGTCTACGGAATAGCAACAATACTGTTTGTATCAGGGCGAAGCGCTGAATGTACCGAGTGCCTATTAAGCTCTACGGAGTAGCAACAATACTGTTTGTATCAGGGCAAAGCCCTGAATGTCCCGACTGCCTATTAAGTTCTACGGAATAGCAACAATACTGTTTGTATCAGGGCGAAGCCCTGAATGTCCCGACTGCCTATTAAGCTCTACGGAGTAGCAACAATACTGTTTGTATCAGGGCGAAGCCCTGAATGTACCGAGTGCCTATTAAGGTCTACAGACTAGTAACAAAACTGCTCGAATCAGGGCGAAGCCCTGAATGTCCCGACTGCCTATTAAGGTCTACGAAATATCAACAAGACTGCTCGTATCAGGGCGAAGCCCTGAATCTCCCGACTGCTTATTAAGGTCTATGGAATAGTAACATGACTGCTCTTATCAGGGCGAAGCCCTGAATGTCCCGACTGCCTATTAAGCTCTACGGAATAGCAACAATACTGTTTGTATCAGGGCGAAGCCCTGAATGACCCGACTGCCTATTAAGCTTTACGGAATAGCAACAAAACTGTTTGTATCAGGGCGAAGCCCTGAATAACCCGACTGCCTATTGAGGTCTACGGAATAGCAACAATACTGTTTGTATCAGGGCGAAGCGCTGAATGTACCGAGTGCCTATTAAGCTCTACGGAGTAGCAACAATACTGTTTGTATCAGGGCAAAGCCCTGAATGTCCCGACTGCCTATTAAGTTCTACGGAATAGCAACAATACTGTTTGTATCAGGGCGAAGCCCTGAATGTCCCGACTGCCTAATAAGCTCTACGGAGTAGCAACAATACTGTTTGTATCAGGGCGAAGCCCTGAGTGTCCCGACTGCCTATTGAGTTCTACGGAATAGCAACAACACTGTTTGTATCAGGGCGAAGCCCTGAATGTACCGAGTGCCTATTAAGGTCTACGGACTAGTAACAAAACTGCTCGAATCAGGGCGAAGCCCTGAATGTCCCGACTGCCTATTAAGGTCTACGAAATATCAACAAGACTGCTCGTTTCAGGGCGAAGCCCTGAATCTCCCGACTGCTTATTAAGGTCTATGGAATAGTAACATGACTGCTCTTATCAGGGCGAAGCCCTGAATGTCCCGACTGCCTATTAAGCTCTACGGAATAGCAACAATACTGTTTGTATCAGGGCGAAGCCCTGAATGTCCCGACTGCCTATTAAGCTCTACGGAATAGCAACAAAACTGTTTGTATCAGGGCGAAGCCCTGAATAACCCGACTGCCTATTGAGGTCTACGGAATAGCAACAATACTGTTTGTATCAGGGCGAAGCCCTGAATGTCCCGACTGCCTATTAAGCTCTACGGAAAAGCAACAAAACTGTTTGTATCAGGGCGAAGCCCTGAATAACCCGACTGCCTATTGAGGTCTACGGAATAGCAACAATACTGTTTGTATCAGGGCGAAGCCCTGAACCTCCCGACTGCTTATTAAGGTCTACGGAATAGTAACATGACTGCTCGTATCAGGGCGAAGCCCTGAATGTCCCGACTGCCTATTAAGCTTTACGGAATAGCAACAATACTGTTTGTATCAGGGCGAAGCCCTGAATGTCCCGACTGCCTAATGAGGTCTACGGAATAGCAACAATACTGTTTGTATCAGGGCGAAGCCCTGAATGTACCGAGTGCCTATTAAGGTCTACGGACTAGTAACAAAACTGCTCGAATGAGGGCGAAGCCCTGATTGTCCCGAGTGCCTATTAAGGTCTACGAAATATTAACAAAACTGCTCATATCAGGGCGAAGCCCTGAATCTCCCGACTGCTTATTAAGGTCTACGGAATAGTAACATGACTGCTCGTATCAGGGCAAAGCCCTGAATGTCCCGACTACCTATTAAGCTCTACGGAATAGCAACAAAACTGTTTGTATCAGGGCGAGGCCCTGAATGTCCCGACTGCCTATTGAGGTCTACGGAATAGTAACAAGACTGCTCGAATCAGGGCGAAGCCCTGAATGTCCCGACTGCCTATTGAGGTCTACGGAATAGTAACAAGACTGCTCGATTCAGGGCGAAGCCCTGAATGTCCGGACTGCATATTAAGCTCTACGGAATAGCAACAATACTGCTTGTATCAGGGCGAAGCCCTGAATGTCCCGACTGCCTATTAAGGTCTACGGAATAGTAACAAGACTGCTCGTATCAGGGCGAAGCCCTGAATGTCCCGAATGCCTATTGAGGTCTACGGAATAGTAACAAGACTGCTCGAATCAGGGCGAAGCCCTGAATGTCCCGACTGCCTATTGAGGTCTACGGAATAGTAACAAGACTGCTCGAATCAGGGCGAAGCCCTGAATGTCCCGACTGCCTATTAAGCTCTACAGAATAGCAACAATACTGCTTGTATCAGGGCGAAGCCCTGAATGTCCCGACTGCCTATTGAGGTCTACGGAATAGTAACAAGACTGCTCGAATCAGGGCGAAGCCCTGAATGTCCAGACTGCCTATTGAGGTCTACGGAATAGTAAAAAGACTGCTCGTATCAAGGCGAAGTCCTGAATGTCCCGACTGCCTTTTAAGGTCTACGGAATAGTAAAAATACTGCTCGTATCAGGGCGAAGCCCTGACTGTCCCGACTGATTTTTAATAACAAAGTGATATTTTTCGCTCCTGAAGTTTAGTTTGGTGACAATTTCTTTTCCGTGACACTTGAAGAACAACGCTTTTTGACGATTTTAAAATGTACAAATTGTTGCAACACTCCTCTTTGTCAATGAATTGAACGAACAGTTTGCCCGTTAAATAAGCTCTGTGTTTCGGAGTATCAGAAATAAAATTGCGAAATTCAGAGCCGAATCCAAAACCAAATAAGACTGCTCGTATCAGGGCGAAGCCCTGAATGTTCTGACTGCCTCTTAAGAGCTATGGAGCAGTAACAACATTTGAATGTGATAAATGGAAATTATTTTTTTCCTAATTTGAGATTTTTTGTAAAATTGATCCCCCACACGCGATGTAATGCACAAAGTGATAGATTTCGCCCCTAGTAACAAATCATCTATGCAAATAAGCTTCTTCCAACCAATTTGGAACGATTTCTAATACGGATTAAGTCTGTGCTTACGCGTTAATATGCGAAATATATCGCCCGTTAATTGTCCCAAATTGGCCAAAGAGGCAATCTTTAAACCCCCATAAATTTACAAAAAATGATCACAGTTAAAATATCTTTTCAAATTTAAGCTCGAGACAACAATACTTTTCGAATGATATAAAAAAATTTGGTCAAAAATGGCTAGTTGAAAAGTCGAAATTTTTCTGAAGAAAAAAAACACACCCCGAGCACAATCGAAAGTCGGAACAAAAACAGCTCCATTTATTGCAATGCGTGTCCCCCTATTCGTTTTTAAGAGATCTTTATGTCAAAACTCTTCTACACACAGCTGGATATCAACTTAGTATTTCAAAAAAGAATTTTCATGATCCATACAATCTAACTACTGCGGCTCTAATTGCGGACTCTAAGTTAAAGCTATATAGTTTCAAATGTTGGCTTTGAGATTTTTAACGGAAGCTTAAGATCTAGAAGCTTCAAGTCAGCACGATTCGTTTTCGTATGCTACAAATCACTCTCCTTGTTGACGACTTTTTCTCTTAACTTAGCATGCTCCCTTCAAATAGCCAAACACAATTATAAAGTGCAAGAATACATTTTTCCCAGGTCAGTTCAAGATTTATGCTCAAGTTTACTTTAAAAACAAAAAGCTTCGAACAAATTTCGATCGGTTAAGTTTAGTTAGCAATGGGAAGGCCTACTTTAAGTCCTATATTGCTCTGAGTTATGATTTCTTG